TGTATTGGTGAAAATTCTGCTGCACTGGCTCTTTCTTATCAGTTCTAGACATTACTACCTTCCTGCTCTAATAGCCCCACCCTCCCTCATCTTCTCAACATTGTTTTTAGATCTGCAGATATCTTTGTAAGTTTAACATCTTTATATCTGTGTTTTTTCATCAACTTTAGATGGTATATTTTGACACCCACATAGTAAGATAAACTTTTTAGTGCCCCTCCTTTCTTTTCCTTCAACTTTCTTCCCTGCTTTCCACCTCCAAGGACTCTAACCTGTATTTTATGTATTTATTTATTTATTTATTTATTTATTTATTTTTATCCTCACCCAAGGACATTTTTTTGCATTTATCTTCAGATAAAGCAGGAGGGAGAGAGAGAGAAACATCGATGTGAGAGGCCACCCACACGACCCCAGCCTGGGCTGGGGACAAACCACAACTGAGGTATGTGCCCTTAGCAGGAACTGAACCCGGGTCTCTCTGGTCTGTGGGCTGATGCTCTAACCGCTGAGCCAAACTGGCCAGGGCTGTATTTTTATTTTTTAAATGTCAAGGTTAGTAACATTTACATTGTCCCATAACCACAATTATGTTTTCTAAATTTTGTCTATGTGTTGATTCTAAAAGTTGAAAGTTAATAAACAGGGCTTACACTACTGTGACTACATACCTACTGTTTACTGCAGAGCCAGGAAAGTTACCACAATTACCTTTTCTTTCTCATATAGCTTTTTGTTTTTCCTGGAGTTTCTAATTGCCTTTTTCTTGTACTTGTTGTTGTTGTTGTTTTATCATAGTCCTAGCTTTCTTCAACGTCTACATCTAATCAACTATTCTATCAGGTTTTCATTATTTCAGAGGTCTACTGTCCAGGGTCCACCTTCTTACAACTATATGAACTGGTTGTTAGTCTCTATACGGTTAATATCCAGGAACTCAGCTGCTTTCTGGGGTTGGGGGGCACACTATTTCTTTCCTGTCTCTCTTGTTTTACACCTTTATTTTGCTTTAGCACATCCTTAAATAACTTCCCCCAAAAAAGGTAAATTTTCTGAGTCTTTTCACATCTGAAATGCTAGTTTGGTTCAATATAAAATTCTAGATTAAAAACCATTTTCCTCAAAATTTTAAAGACAACTATTGTTGCTGACTCTGTCCAGTATGATTCTCCCCGCTTTGTGTTAGGTAACTGGTGTTTCTACTTTAGAAGCATCTGGAGAGTCTTTTCTCCCGGCACAATGAACTCTTACCGCAAGGATCTTTTGATACCTGTAGTGCTGGGCATTCAGTGAACCCTTTTAAGCTAATGACATCCTTAAGCCCAGAGACATTTTCTTCTTCTCTATGTTCTTTATTCTTTATTTCCTTTCTAGAATTAGGCTTCCTATTGATCCTTTTTTCTCACATTGTCTTATATTTTGGTTTTGCTTTCTAGGAAGATTCTCTGTGTTTTATTTTCCAATTCTATTTACCAAAAAGCTCTTTCTCTCATTCTTTTTTAATAGCATCCTGTTATTGATTTTAGGATGCAATATATATTGTTGAATATTTTCATCTCTGAAGATGAGTAACATTTCCTTTAATCTCCCTTCTGTTTCCTAAGTTACTTCTGGTGTTCCAGAGTCATCTTTTCTCTTGGTCTGTCGCTGGCATGTTGGCCGTCTCCTCAAATGTCTGGTGATGCTCGGTTGTCTGTGTTTAAGAATGAAATCATAAAAAGCTGATTGGAAGCCTGTGATGTCAGGACTAATGCCCAGCAGATGTCACTCTAAGGTGATTGGGTAGGAACCAGACACATCTCTGGATGGTTCGCGATCAACAAAATGTATCAATTTCTAGCCAAAATGAATAGGGAAAAAAAATGACAAAAATTATCGGTATGAGGAATAAAAGAGGCAACATTGCTACAGATTCTACAGATATGCAAATTATAATAAGAAAATATTACAAACAACTTATGCCAAAAAACTTGACAACTTAGATGAAGTAGACAAATTTCTTTAAAAAATGCAAATTTCAAAAGCTCCCTCAAGAAATAGATATTCTGGCCCTGGCCAGTTTGGCTCAGTGGTTAGAGTGTCGGCCTGCGGTCCGGAGAGACCCGGGTTCGGTTCCCGCTAAGGGCACGTACTTCGGTTGCAGTTTGTCCCCGGCCCTGGTTGGTCGTGCGGGTGGCAGCCACTCGATGTGTCCCTTCACGTCGATGTTTCTCTCTCTCTCTCCCTTCCTCTCTCTCCCTCCCACTCTATCTGTACAAAAAATGGAAAATATCCTCGGGGAGGATAAAAAAAAGAAAAAGAGCCCTGGCCAGTTTGGCTCAGCGGTTAGAGCATCGGCCTGCGGTCCGGAGAGACCCGGGTTCGGTTCCCGCTAAGGGCACGTACTTCGGTTGCGGTTTGTCCCCGGCCCTGGTTGGTCGTGCGGGTGGCAGCCACTCGATGTGTCCCTTCGCGTCGATGTTTCTCTCTCTCTCTCCCTTCTTCTCTCTCCCTCCCAGTCTATCTGTACAAAAAAAATGGAAAAATATCCTCGGGTGAGGATAAAAAAAAAAAAAAAAAAAGAAAAAGATATTCTGGAGATGATAGTGGCAATGGCCACACAAAAGTGTGAATATACTCAATGCCACTGACTATATACCTAAAAATAGTTTAAATGGGCAACTTTATGTTATGTACATTTACCACAATTAAAAAATAAGAAATAGGTTGAATAGCCCTGTGTTAAAGTTGAATTTGTAACTAATCTTCTCCAAGGAAACTCCAGGCCCAGGTTCAACTTTACACAAACTCATAAATGGAAGAGGGAATACTTTTCAACTCATTCTATGAGGCCAACATTACTCTAATATCAAAACCTGAAAGGGGGGGGACCGGGAAGAGGGTGTTATTGGCGGAAGGAGAAACATCTGTAACAAAAATAAATTAATTAATAAAATAAAATAAAATAAATAAAAACCTGAAACCACTAAAAAAAAAAAAACTGAAAAAGACATTACAAGGAAATTACATACTAGTATTCCTCATGAACATATATGTAAAAATTCTAAAAATGGAATAATAGTTCACAAATCAAATTCAACAGTGTATAAAAAAATAATACATCATGTACAAATGAGGTTTATTCCAGGAACACAAGATTAATTTAATATTTTTTAAAAATGTATTTCACTAAAAAGAATTATTAACAGAATAACAGTATTTCTATGTTAACATATAACATGTTATATATAACATATAGTATGTTAACATAATATAAAAGCAAAACTATATGATCATCTCAATAATCAGAAAAAGCATCAGTCTAAATCCAACATCCCCTCCTAATTAAAAACTAAGTAAACTAGGAATAGAAGGGAATGTTGTCTGCCCAATAAAAGGCAGCTATGAGAAAAATTACAGCTAACATCACACTTAATAATGACATACTGAATGCTTTTGCCCTAAACTCAGGACCAAAGCAAGGGTGTCCACTCTACTCTATCCAACATTGTACTGGAGGTGGTTCTCAGTGCAGTAAGACAAGAAAAGGAAATAAAGAGACATCCAGGTTGGAAAGGAAGAAGACTGTCTTGAGTCACACACATTATTGTTTGTGTAAAAAACCTTATGGAATCTATTTTAAAAAACTATAGCTAATAGAATTTTAAGACAGTTGCAAGATCCAGGATCAATGCATTTCTCTATATTAGCAACCAACAATGGGAAATTGAAATTATTTCGCATACTACAGAATGTCACAGAAACCCCAAGTCGAGTCAACCTCTGACTTTTGCTTCCAACCCCCAGTGCTGCTATGAGGTCCACACCTAATCATTTCTCCTCCTGTTCACACCCAGTTGCTGTTCATGGAAAGGTTAAGGCTGTGGGGTGTTGATTCAATTGCCAGGGAAGCTTTGTAAACAGGCAAGGAAGGCTGTGAGGTCAGAGGCCTGGGAGGAGCAGCACTTGGGCAGGTGGAGCTGGAGATGAAGAGAGAAGTGAGGAGGAAGCCAAGGGAGAGCGGTAGTGGAGGAGGTGGAGGGTTCTGAAGAGGCCACTTAGCTGCCCCTGGAAGCCTGTCCATGGTGGTGCAGACTCCTAGCCCAGCCAGTCAGCTGATCCAGGATCCCATGGCCCAGGCTGAACAGAGACATGCCCAAATCCCAGTCCCAGGACCAGCCATGCAAGGACCCTCCTCAACCTCTACATCTCTAGGAAGAGGCCACAGCACATTTTGATCCTTCTGATATAATCCTGGGAGCAATTCTTCTCAGCCAGAGCCAAGATTGTCGCTTCCTGCCACACTCCAGGCTTATGGGGACCCAGCTTGCCCATTGCCATGATGACCTAACCATCAACTCTTATCCACTACCATGGGGAGCAAAGAATGGGACAGCCTGGTTCCTCCCACCCCCAGAGGATGAAAAAAAACTTCTGCAGCAAAAGATACAAACCTCCCGGGAGGGACCTGGGAGGAGGGACCCTCCCCCAAGGAGTCAGTCTCCTCCGTGGAGGGTTATCAGAGCTCATAAATCACCAGATCTGTGTCAGCATCACCTCAGAACAAGTACCTGGGTTGAGACCCCGGGCCTAGAGTTGGGGATAGATGACCCAAGGATGTGATGGGCTGAGAAGGCAGGGAAAGAGAGGATGGACTATAGGATAGGAGGGGCCAGGATTAAGTAGAGTGGCAAATCTGAAGCCTGGCCAGAGAGAGGAGAAAGAGACGGGGGCAGGAATGGAAGGAGATGAGGAAAGTTCATGAGGGCTTGACTGGGAACCCCACACAGTTCCAGGTTCCTGAGCACGACAGCATATCAGGCAGGGCAGTGAAGTTTCCTGAGTCCAATCTGCATCCAAGTGCTGACTTCCTGAATGATCAACTGAAGGACCTTGGGCAAATGAACCTCTTTTTTGTGTTGAATCAATGAGTAAAGCACAGAAAGTGCTCAACACAATGCCTGAGTTAGTAGTACTCGAGAATGGAGCACTGTTAGTATTCACTCTTGTGGAGGGCCAGCATGGACCAGCATGGAAAATGGAAGGGAACAGACATGAGAGGTAGGACTGACACTGGCTGGAGAGAGTGAGGGGACGAGGGTTAAGATGGCAGAGGGAATGGCAAATGGGCTAAGGTAAGGAACAGGGAGGGAGGGAGAGGATGGCTGACGCATCGTCACCAGCCCAGGCTCCAGAACCCCTCAGGGATCATTCCCCGGCCCTCACCTTCTTCTCTCTGCCAGGTGCCAATGGATTTCCCTGCTGTAGCAAGGATTCGGTGGACATAGTGGAGACACAGTGAGAACCAGTCCCCCATTATCGGAGGACCTCTTTTCCACCTTCCAAGACCATCAACCCTTACCCCTGCCACCACTGCCAAGTTTTCATGTACCCCCCAACCCAGGATCTCCCTCCATCTTGCCTGTTTTCAAAATTTCCCCAAGGGTAGTATCCAGGCCAAAAGGCCATGGTGGAGGTGAGGGGTACCACCCCCTCCCACTTCTACCTCCAGTCAGATCTTGGAGGAGGACTGAGGGGTAGTGGGGCACATCTAGGAACGTAGATGGGACCTGACCCCTTAGACCCACCTTGCTCTAAGGACAGAGCTGTCCAAGTTGGGGATGAACAGGTTCCTAAGGAAAGTGAGGGGGTCACATGGCTGAGCACTGAAGGGCCAAGATGGCAGCACACTGCTGACAAAACTGGGGGAACCCTGCACACACACACAGACACACACCTCTACTTTTTACCTCTGCCAACCTGGGGCTGAGCAGGTTGTGGAGAAGGCAGTGCTCTGGGCTTTCCCTTCTGTGAGGAGCCACGTCCTGGGCACTGGTTCTCCAAGAGCTGCATCTCAGCTCACTGGAGTGAATGCCTGATTGCAATGGAGATTCCTGGGCCTCACCTCCAACCAACTGGATCTCTCCTCGTGGGGGAAAGGGGGAGACATGGCAAGCTCTCCAGGCACTTTCTAAACTCACTAAAGTCTGAGAATACAACTCCAGAATTCTTGGTGGGAGTGGGGACAGCCAGGGGAGTAGATAAGCTGGGGCATCTTGCCAGCCCCTGTATAAGGCAGGGGGCCTTGTGGATCCTAGAGACCCCATTCCCCCTAAGACCATCCCACCAACACCCTGGAGCCTGTCACCCACTGTGTCTCCTGTCTTAGGATTGACGTAAACCAACACCAGCTCCAGCCGACACAAGAGCAGCTCCAGCAGGCACAAGAAGATGAGAGCGAGGTAACAGTGGGCAGGGTCACCTCTTATGGGAAGGTGGTAGGCAAGAGGCAGGGTTCCTTGAGGTCCATCTTCCCTAAATTCTAACCAGTCCCTAATCTTCATAATTCTGGGACCCTAGTACCAGGCCAGTGTTGGCATGCTCACACCATCTCCCTGCCCCAGTCAAGTCTCTGCAAAGAGGCAAGTGTGGGGGGAGGAAGCAAGCAGTGGAGCCGGGGGGAGCAGGGCAGGGAGTCAGTGCCAGGGAGGACCTGAGGGGCAGGGGCCTCCTCAGCTTTCACTTGAAACTTTTCAGCTGGAGAATGAATTGCTAGAGCTGGATCCCCCACCTAAAGTAGACTTGGACCTAAACACAGAACCGGAGCTGGAGGCCAAGGCTGTGCCACCGTTGGAGTGGTGCCCAGAACCCATACTCAAGCCTGAGACCAAGCCGAACTTGGAGGAATGCAATGAAGACCTGGAGAAACAGACGCACAACAAAGAGTCCATCTGCCCCAACACGGAGGTGCAGATGCAGCAGGACACCCACCAGTGGAACGAGAGGTCGAACTCCAAGGACGAGGAACAAGTGTCCACCACCCATTGCTCCATCCAGGTGCAGACGTCCAAGCACCTCTTCTGGGCAGACAAGACCATCCAGGCCTCAGAACACAGCCTGCAACGGGAGACCGGCCTGCAGCCTGGCCAGAAGAGCAGAGATAAGACCACCAGCCGCCTGAACCAGAAGTCAATCCCCAAGGACACCCCACGCTCCAAGAAGCAGCTCCAGAACCCCAACACCAACTTTTCAGACACACACCTCAGGCAATCACCAAACACCCACTTGCCCTCCTCCAGTCTCCCACCAACTATCAGCCTAGATCATCTGATCAACCTCGCATCTTCCCTGGCCATAGCCTCATCCAACAAGAGGGACTTGCCCAGGTTAGAGCGCATGATGAAATCTCCACCCCAGAAGGCAGTGGAGCCTTCCAAGGCAGCCCGGATGGAGACTGCACCCCCGGTGGAGAGTGCACCCCCGGTGGAGAGTAAAACCCCGGTGGAGAGTGCACCCCCGGTGGAGACTGCACCCTTGGTGGAGACTGCACCCCCCATGGAGACTGCACCCCCCGTGGAGACTGCACCCCCGGTGGAGACTGCACCCCCGGTGGAGAGTGCCACCCAGTCTGACAAGAAGGAGCCAGAGCGGGAAACGCGCTCTCAGTTGCTAGAGAAGCCACCAGAGAAACCTCTGGAAGCAGGGGAGCCACAGAAAGCTGGCCAGAAGGTCTATGAGAACACTGCTCACCCTTACTTTAGCAAGCCAGGCCTCCGCGGGACCACCATTGCAGGGAAAATTAAGTTTCTCCCGCCCCGGCCAGGTCCTCTCCACCAGAAGGAGACGGGAATGCATAAGTGAGTCTGGCCTGCAGCTCCCCGCCAGAGGAGGCCGTGCTGGGATGTGTGGGTGGGCCCACTCCTCACACAGCTGGATGAAGGTGGGGAACAGTGGAATGAGGGGCTGGGTGGGGGATGGGTAGGCTCTGATGTCTCAACCTCAGTGACCTCATAAAGGCTGCTGGAAACAAGGTTCCGGTGGACTGAGGTGCAGTACCAAGGCCAGGGCTGGAGGAGACCTGGGGACCTTGGGGACTGAGCATTCCAGAGCTAGGGCAGGGACCTGGGTTCAAAATGGAAAGGGCCAATGTAGCATTAGGAAGCTTCTCACCCAGAGGGCAGGTGACCTCTCCCTCCTCGGAAATGCTCAGGCTAGTGTCTGCCCTGCTGGGAGCCTGGTGGTTGCAGCCCTGGCCCAGGACGCTCCCAGGGAGTGGCAACGAGGGAACAGGGTTCTCCAGTACCCCTGGCTTCCTAGTGATGAATGGATACAACACAATGACAGCGCCCATCACTGTGCAGCAGGAACAGTTCCTCTTACCCCAGTGCCCTCCTCAGAGCAGCCTCTGGGCTCACCCCTCTCCCTTGACCCTCCCACTGGGGCCCGAGTGACACTCTCGTTTGCATTGCAGCTCAGTGCCGGAAACCCAGGAAGAGAATCCATTATTGCTGAAAATCCATTTTAAGCTGTTGTCCCCACTTCCTCAGAGAAATGACTAGAGAAAACCAATAAAGCTTCTAGTGCTGGCCTGCGGCTCAGACTTTTTGTGCAGAAGCTTCTGAACCAGTGAGCTCACCTGGCTGCAAAGTCCTGGTCTCAATATTTTAGGGCTGCCACTCCCTTTTTTTTTAGCTACCCCAGCCCCACCTGCCCCCGAGGGCCCCTCCAGCCCTGTCCTCCCTGCTACACCACTCACACCTCTCTAGCCTTCAGTAACAGAGACTCATGACTAGTCTTGAGGAGGCCTCAGTGCCCTCTCTGGGGTTTCCATTTCTTAGATCATAAAAAGAGGCTTCCTCTTGGCCTGCAGCCAGGGACACACTGGGATCATCTGAGGTGAGAGTCTCCTGGGGGTGGGCCTGGGCCGGCAAGAAGGAGACTCTGAAGGGAGTCCTTTCTTCCTGCTTCTCTCCACGGAGAAGGCCTGGCACGGGGAAGGGACAGTGTCCAGGGGCTGGAAGGAGGGGAAGAATGAAGCTGGAGGACTGGCCCCCACAGCCTTAAGTTGGAGGTACCTCAAAATGCAGAGAGGGCCATGTGTAATAGTGCACGCAACCCAGACACAGGCACACACACACACACCATCAGCTGACCAGAACATCAGACAGACAGGCACTCACATGACACATCCACACGTAGACCGAGGAAGCACACGCCACACAAGCCATGCACACACATCAACACAGGTGTGTGCTAAACATGCACACACATACACACGCCTCCCACATCAGGGGAAGATGGGCAATGTGGGGAATGTTTTGGAAGACAGATGCCAACAAAGGAGGGGACGGAATTCTGAGTGCAGGATGGACATGAGCGTGAAGAGGGAAGTCGGGGAGAGAAGAGGGAGGCAGTGCCATGACTTGGGCTCTGGTCAGCCTCAAGACCCACTCTGGACCAAGGCTCCCTGTCGAGTGAAAGCCCAGCCTTGCAGATCCTGGAGAGCCTGGCCCACCTGAGACAGGGCTGGGAAGGGAGGCAGGCAAGGTCTGGGAGAATGGGACTAGGAAGGTGTGAGCAGTTAAGAATGGGCTGGGGGCCAGAGGAGAAGCGGGCAGAAGGCTGGAAGGAGGGAAGACAAGGATGCAGAGGTGTCTGGAGAGGGGCTGGGCCAGAGGAGTCATTCAGCTATTGGGACCAGTCTTCCTGGAATTTTTTTTTTCATGTGGTTTGTGGCTTTGCATTGCTTGGAGAAAGGAATCCTTCTCTCCTAGGGAAGCTGGGATAAGATAAGCCATCGCCCCACCTTGGGCTGGACCCCACCCTCCCACGCCCTGCCTTCAGGACTCTAGGATTGGTTTCTTTCTCCCCTGGGCTTCTGCCTCCTGGTGGCTTCCAGAGTGGGTTGTAAATTCAGATGCCTTAAGAGAAGCAGAAACTCTGAAGAATAAAGCAGCAGAGAGGAGCAGGCCTGTGGTGAGGGAGAGCGCAACCCTGCCCAAAGACGTTACCATTCAGCCCTGAGCCATCTTGGGAGCTTCAGGCCTGGGGCGCTAGACCAGCTGCAGAGCCTGTGACTGCATTTCAGGCGGCAGGGAGCAGAAGACCAAGAAACCCCCAAGGGCACAGAGAACATGCAGGTGACTAGAGCTAGGAGGTCTGTTACTACTCCAAGCTACTGTTCCCAGGACCCCTGGTTAGAGGACTGTGGGTGCACATGCTGGTATGGGGAGTCCTGGAAGAAGGTGGAGCTGTGTACCCACAGGCCTGGTCCTGGGTCCCCTGGAGTCTCAGCAGTCCAATGGGGACTGTCTTCTTCCTGCCTCCAAGGCCTCCACAGATGCCTGGAAGACTGCTCACACGAGACACTGGAGAGGACCAGGCCCGCAGGACGGGAAGGCCACAGCAGCACATGGCCCTGCCGACCCAGATGGATCCCGCAGTGACCATGGCCACAGGCTAAGCAGACCTCATGGAGGGCCAGAGAGATCAAGGGCCTTGCAGCTACCCATTCAGTAGCGTCGGGCCCAGGTGCTGGATCTCAGAGGTGAGGGCAGGAACTGGACGCCAGGCCTGGGTGCTGGGTCTGGGATAAGGCCTGCCTGGCCCTGTCACCTCTCTGCAGCAGGTGCAAAGGCCTTGCCAACCTCTTTCCCTAAGGCAGCTTTGCAGATGAGAACCTGCTACCACTGACATCCCAGCAGCTGTCAGGTGAGGGCCCTCAGCTGGGAGCAGGGAGAAAAATTAGGGGGTGCTCTGAGCAGAACTACAAGGGGTTGGCTGCCCAGAGGCTGGAGTCATTGAGAGAAACAGTGATTGTATTGTAACCTTCCCTCCATGCCAGTCTAATTTGCTCATCTCTACAACCCCAGGGCTCACTGGTGTGTGTGTGTGTGTGTGTGTGTGTGTGTGTAGGACAAAGGGAAGGATGGATTTGTGAATGGGAAGGTACTTGGATGGTAGGTGGTGGATGGATAGATGAACAGGATGGAAGAAGGAAGAGAGGAGAGATATTGGGAGAAATGATGGGAAAAAAAGAATTTGAGTCTCCTACCCCCCTGGGGTCTGGGGCTGTGAAAATTGGGGTAAAAGAAACTCCTTTGACATTTGGGGTCCCTGATACCCTGCAAAGATCATGCCTTGATATTGGCAGAGGTTCCTCAAAACAGAATCATCTTATTCATCAATAACCTTCTGTGCCTGCTACACGCCAGGGGCCAGCAAGACCCCTGCAGCTTCAAAGCATTGCAGCTCCAAGCCAGACCGCCTGAGTCCCAAGCCCAGCATTGCCTCTACTGGTGGTGTGACCTTGGACATGATTTTTTAATGTTTTTCATACAAATATGTCCACACGTGAGTTTTGGACATAAGAATTGAATGGGCACTGAACAAGTGCCAACATAGAGTAGCCATGGTTGTTCTTCATATTAAAAGTTATAACGCCCAGGGGGTTGGAGTGACCCAAGTCCTCAGTCCCATCTAAGCTAGAGTGGACAGGTCTCAGGGTTCCTATATATGCAGTTCACCTTGTTGCCTGCCCCTCTTGTTGCCCCCAGCATTCCAGGATATCTTCAAACTGCTCAGCTCCAGCCCGACAGGCATTATGGACATGCACAGCATGAAAGCTGCCCTGTGCACCGTGGGCATCCACCTGAGCCCACAGGAGATGTTTGAAGCTCTGCAGCAGGCAGACCTGGATGGTGGGTGCCCCCATCCCTGCCCCCTCGTCCTCTTCCACCTCTAGCCCTGAAGAATGCCTCCCTTGCCCACAGAATCCCTGGCCTCTTCCTATTTTAAAATTTCCTCTTCCAGGAAGCCTGCTCTGATCAACATGCATATGGTGTAGACTCCAAACATTTCTGCTGTGTTACTATCAACCTTACTTGGTGCTTCCCCAGAGCAAGGGCTCTTTCTCCTTCACTCAACCAGGGTTGATGCTTGGTTAGAGGCAGGACTGGCTTCTCTAATGCCTGGAACTTCTGGCAAGCCCCTAATGCTTACGCAGGGTAAGCCTTCTGCAGGGACAGCACACACGGCACCCCTCCTGTCTCTTCCCAGGTGATGGAATTGTAAGCTTCAAGACTTCTGGATATCTTCACTGACAGCCACCACCTTGCTCAGTGTTTGGGTGGATGGCAGGGCTGGTGGGGCAAGATGGGCCTGGCTTGAGGGAGGCTCCTCCTTACCCTCTCCCCTGTTCTTTGACACCAGGCCAGGTGAGGAACAGCAGAGTCTGTGACCCCCAAGGCCTGCAGACAGATAGGATGTGACAAGTCCATGCAGGAGGTGATGAGGTGGGCACAACTGCATCTAGCTTCAGATTCCAGGATGAGGTGGAGTAGACTCTACCCCGTGCAGAGGTTCCCTAATATTCCTGCCCAGAGATGGGTACCCTAAATTCTGGGTCTGTTCCCCCTGGTCATAACATGCAGCAGGCCAGAGACAAGCGGTTTCCTGTTCAGCTTTGGGTTTCCCGCCTGTGAGATGGAGGGGAGTGGTGGAGGCGGTGTCTGAGACGGCTGCTCCACTTGTGTCTCTCAAGCTACTAACTCAATGAAGCAGTGGGCCTTGGGGCTAAACCCAGGCTGCAACAGCAGGTCCTGCGGCCAAGTGCGCGGTCACCAGGGCCTCACCTTTTCCTGCCAGGCCGAGCGGCCCAACGACCTTCCCAACGCCTGGCACGCTCGCTGCACAGACTGCGCAAAGCGAGCGCGCCCCTTTGTGAGGCTGGGAGGACCTGTGGGACTGACACTCAGGACCCGCTCTCAAGACTGGCCCTTCCTTTTCCTCCTGCCGGCTTCCCCAACCCAGGTTCGTGCGGCCCCTACTCTCAGATGCTAACCCGGACACGCAGACGTGGCCAGAATACAAGACTCTGAACCTGGCCCCGAACTCCTCTGATGTCCAACTTCCCGAGTCCTACCCCTCCAGCCACCCCAAGTTCAGGACTAACCAGGGGAGGTGCAGCCCAGGTGAAAGCCAGGGTAGGCGGTAGGACTCGCGGGCGGGCGGGCGGTGCAGATGAGGGGCGGGCCACACGAGGGGTGGGGCGGGAGAATAGGGGCGGGGCAAACAGATAGGATGTGACAAGCCGGGAGGGGAGGGGCAGGGGAAGAAGAGTGGGAGCAGGACTCCAAGAAATGGAGACGGAGGCCCCACAGGAGGAGATGTAATCTGAGATCACTCTCGGCTGTGCCTAAGAATGGGGCAGGGTACCCAGCTAGGAAGTGGGACTGGTGGAAATGGGATGGGACAGGCACAAAGGCGGACTGAAGGGGAGCTAACCCAACATCTCTAATCCAAATACAGGGCTGGACCCCCCTCCCGCCCCCTCTGCCTCAGACCAACCACTAGAGTATGTTGCCCCTCGAAGCTGGCTCCCCCCTCCCAACTCTAGTGTAGAAGCAGCCCTTTACCCTTCACCAGCCTGTTTGCAGATACTGCTATGAAAAACTTGTACAAGTAGTATTTGCTAAACAAAACAGGCCGAGGTATGGTGGGGGGCACGGAGCGGATGCAGATCTTTTGTAAACATCTTTATTAATCTTGTATAAAAATAAGGTCCATGTAGAGTCCCCGGAGGTGGCGGTGGGTGGGGGGTTGCACTTTATAAGTTACACCAGGCTCCTGCTGAGGCTAGGTACAGTATGGCTATCGTAGGGAGAGGGTGCTGCAAGCAGCATTTGGGGGCAGGGGCCGGCGACTGCTGCTCCCTGTAGCAAGATGAGGGTGCACCGGCCCATCTGAGGTAAGCCCACGGCTGGGGACCACGGCAGAGAAGCTGCCAGGTCCCAGCCAAGCTGAGGACCACCTTCCTTGAGCCCCGTCTTGCTGCCTCCCCCAACCCCAGAGTCCATCTGCGGAAATAGGGGCTACAGCGAGAGGTCCGAGGTGACCTGCAAGGGGGGTCCCGGGGGTCGCCGGCGAGCGCTGCGGCGGCCTGTGTCTGTGCGGATGTAGGGCTGGTTCCGAAGATCTACAGAGAGGAGACAGACCCATTTACCCTTCAGGAGTCTCCCCAGGGCTGGAACTACCACTCCAGGACACAGGCCTTACCCTTCTAAGGGCCCATGTTGCATGCCTGTGGGAGGGGGCCTGTTTATGTTTACCAGACCCCCTCAAACACATCTCAGCATGCATGACCCAGGAGAGGACAGCGGGACTCGGCTCCCCTAAGGGCCCCAGAGCTATGGTAAGCCACTGGAGTCACAGGCAAGGCCACCCAGGTACCTGAGAGCTAGAGGGGGATCTCCTCTCCCAGGCTGGCCTCACAGAGGAGCCTGGATGTCCGCTTGCCAGTGCGGGCTGCCGTGAAGGGCACCGTCTTGAGCACTGAGGGGTAGGAGGGTGTAGGGGGGAGAGAAAGGAAAAAGAAAAAAGACAGAAAAAGTAGCAAAGAGGCAGTGAGGCAGACAGAACCCCAGGGTGGGGAGGTGGATGGAGGACAGTGTAGAAGGACAGACCGAGCACAAGACAGGCCTGGCCAAGGCCTCACCTGTGATGATATCTTCAATGGCCCCATCGCGGTCACTCTCATAGATGAGTGGCTCCTTCTGCTGCTTCCGTTTCAGCTCAGAGATGAGGTCCATCTGTTGTCGCCGAACCTTGGGTGGGGACTGGGGGGAATAGAAGGGTATGTAGCTCCAGTTCCAGGATCCCCCCCACACACATACCACCAAACCCTGTTTGTCTGGTCCCCCACAGTAAGCCCCCACTGCTGGCTCAACCCGAAGGAACCCATTTCCATCCCAGGCTACTCGCAGGGTCTTTAGGTAAAAATGAGGGTGGGGAAGAGGGCCAGATCTTTGGGATGAGGGCACTAAGCATCCCTACATCCCAGGGCCAGGCTCAGGGGCAGCTGCTTACCTTGGGTGCTGGGGCTTCCCCTCTGCCCGGAGTCTCAGCACCTGCCTCCTGAGCAGCTGCTTCTTTCTTCCACTGTTCCACCTCCTGCTCAGCTTTCTGAGGGGCCAAGGTTGGTCTCCATCAGCTGAGGTCTCCCTCGCCTACGCCGCTCCCCAGACAGAGGCAGCCTCCACCCCTCCCACTGCCCACATGGACAGTCTGCAGTGCCCTGCAGTGGTCCCAGCTTGCCTACCAGAACACATACATACCTTGTAGGCCTTGACGAAGCGGCTAAAGAGGGAAAAGAACATGGAGGGGGACGTGGTCTTGGGGTTTTCTCCAAAGTACTCCACCACAGACTCGTAGGCCTCCTGTAGACACAGCCTGTCAGCCCCATCAGTATGGACCCCTTGGAGCCTGATCACTGCTCTGTACCCCCCATTAAGGTACCAGACACTTTGTCTGGCCTGTGGCTCAAGACAGGCCAGACATCCCATGGACTGAGAGGCATCCCATGGACTGAGAGGCCCGGGTTTGATTCCCAGTCAGGGCACATGTCCAGGTTGCAGACTCGATCCCCAGCAGGGGGCGTGCAGGAGGCAGCTGATCCACATTTCTCACATCCATGTTTCTCTCTCTCTCCCTTCCTCTCTCTAAAAAATCAAAAGACACCAGCCTGTTCATCTCTGCTCCTCCTAGCAGGTGGCCCCTCACTCCTACTCCATCCCCCAAGGTGTCCTAGGTGTGGCCACGCCCATCCAAGCCTTGGCTACCTGACCCCAGCTAGGTAGCCCTTCTTACCTCCCACCCCACCCTCCTCACCTCCAGGGCTTGGCCAGCCCCAGCCCACCTGAGCTGTCTTGCTGTCTGCCAGCAGCTTATCCATAGTAGGTGAGTTGGTCCTCAGGAACTCCTTGAGCACCACGCAGTCATCCTGCCGCACAAACTCCCTCTGGGTCAACTCCAAGCCTCGCTGCAGGGAGCGCACATCCCCAAGGATGCTGTCCAGGGACACTGGTGGATGGGGCAGTAGAGAGAAAGGAATCAGAGAGGCAGCATTCTGTCCAATGGCATCCTGTAGTCTCCTTGCTTTCTCCCAACCCATATCAATCCCCAGGGCTGAGCTACTCCCCCAAGCCAAGGCCAGGGTTACTGCCCACCCATACCTGAGCTCGCCTTGTCCAGGAAGTGCAGGTCGCTGTGGAAGCCTGTGAGCTGTGGATACTTCTCAGCAATAACCTTCACCAGGTAGTGCAGCAGCGTCTGCTTTCGGTCAGTCGACTTCATCTCCAGCAGCTGCAATGACCTATTGTAAGCCACGGGCCACCAGCCTTCCCCCATATCCTAGGCCAGGGGACCCCTTCTCTGGCCCCTACCGCATCCAGACTCTGGAGCCGGAAGCCATAGGCTGCTCCACGCTTGCTGCTGTTCATGTAGTTGCCAAAGGCCAAGACAATCTAGGGGAGATGGGGAGAGCTGAGAAAAACCCCTGAAGTATAAATTGCATAAGAAAAGGTGGCAAAGAGCAAGCCCCACACCCAACCCAGTCCTGCACGGACTGCTCGGGTCCATGACACATGTACAACATGTGTACGTGTTTGACACGTGTGCAGGGCTAACATCACAGCACACCGAATTTTGTCCTCTGTTATTCCTACCCAAACTGTGCTGCCAACATCTCTTCCTAGACTGTGGAGTCACCACCTTTCTTTTTTTTCTTTTTTTTTTTCTCTTATCCTCACCCGAGGACATTTTTCCATTTTTTGTTCAGATAGAGCGGGAGGGAGAGAGAGGAAGAGAGAGAGAGAGAAACATCGATGTGAAGGGACACATCGAGTGGCTGCCACCCGCACGACCGACCAGGGCCGGGGACAAACTGCAACCGAGGTACGTGCCCTT